AGAGAGAGAGGGAGAGAGAGAGGGAGAGAGAGAGAGAGAGAGAGAGAGAGAGAGAGAGAGAGAGAGAGAGAGAGAGAGACAGGGAGACAGAGAGAGAGAGAGAGACAGAGAGTCAGACACAGAGAAATAATTCCAAGAGTTACTTGGAAAAATTGATAGAATACCAATCCCGTTAATGATATTTACTATATTTCAGTTCATGAGTCATCCTTTTAAATACATTTCATCCTTGACACCTGTTTATTTAATTAGTAACTCATTAATCTACTGTTTCCAGTTTCACAAGGGAAGATGATGGCAAGGTAAACTGGTATTTCAACATTCCGCCTAAAAAACAGAAAAAAAGTGTTAGTCGGAAAATAATTAAAGTATTTACATATTGAAAGGATAGTGTAGGATTACGAATTGGGTTGTTCAATTATTGGAAATTTGTTTATCTATTATTATTTTTTACTTTCTTTTTTATGATCGCCTTTCTTCTGCAATTCTATAACCAATCTTTTGTTTTAAAAGTAAGTTTCGACAAGGAAATCTGGATTATTCGATCAATTTCGTTCGTGGGTTATTTACAGTAGTTCACATACATCAATTTACTACGTTTTGCGTCTAGTTTCACCTTACTGAACCTCTTGGAATAAAAGGTTCGAATGTAGTCGGAATTTCAGGTGCTAAGTATTTTGGAATTAGCTTACTCGACCGGATGAAAGTGAAAGTAACCTATTTTGCATAAGTTCCCCAGAATTGAAAGAATATTAGACCCAAAAATTTCCTCGCGTCTAAACTTTCCCCGGATGTGCTAAGTTGCCTTGAACTTAAAAAAAAAAAAATGAAATTGAAGTCACCCACTATTAGTTTTCAAGACAACACTTGCTTCATCGTGCATTGGCGTCAGCAGTTGAACTTGGCCATAATTGTTTAAAGGTCTATATATCACTCTCATATGTTTATTCTCATCACTGTTATTATCATTTTATTTGCATATTTAAATCCAGATGTCCATCTTTTTGCTCATTTATTTTTCGTCTGATTTGTAGACGTGTACCAATCCTGCTGTAGTGTGCCAGTTTCTTGTTAGGTTTTAACACGGAAAACTGGGTCATCATCCTTTACCACTCTGAGCAATAATCACCGCACTTTTGTCTGTGTCTGTGCCTTTATTTCATGAGCTTCGGAATATTATTATTCTTATCGTCTTTTCCTCCACCATTCGCTGTTGTAAATTCAGCCTTGACCCTCTTGTCTACTTTTATCGCAGTCTCCCCCCTTCACCTTTACCGTTCTGGGGGTTCCCCGTTTTCTTTATTATATTACATTATCAGTGGCATCAAAGCCAACTGAAAGTGGGCTTTGATGCCATTTTCTTCCCCTCTTCCCCCTTTCGACATTAGCACCTAGGTTTGGCCTTTATACTGTCGCCTGAGTTCGTCATATTTATTAGTCTGTTTTGTCTTCAAATATATATCTTTAAACACACACACACATCTGTCAACAATACATTAAACATACACACACACACAAACACACACACTTATATATATATATCTACAGTGTTATCAGTATTAATATACATTTCTATCAATAACCTATATAATATTAATTACTTGATAGCATTATCTTTTTCACGTAAAATCTACTTACAAAATCTACTGTCAACCTTCACTTTCATATTACTTTCACTCGTGCATTTCTTTCACATTATTCATGTACTTTCATATTAACATCTTTATCATATCTCTTTTCTTTACTGAATTTCGATTTTTTTTATTAGTTGATTATACTTGTTTTTAAAAGGATTGGATATAACAGTACAGTAGAAAATGATATCAAAACAACAAAATTATAATTCATAATGTAAAATCAAATGCACTCATGATGGTGAGAAAAGTTTAAATTAGATGCTTAAAAAATTAAATAGATAATATCTTTAGACAATAATCATCCATTTCGGCATGAAGATGTCTTCTGTCCAGAGCGAAACGTGATGGAATTATTGCTTCCCACTCACTGTGTTTTGGTTTCGTTGTAATAATATCATGTTTTCCATCCTTGATGTCTATCTATATTTTTTTCGCCAGTAGAACATGCCATCTTTACCTCGTTATTACTACCCTGGAGAATCTCTGCAGCATTATTTTGATCAAAGTCTGAAAGACATCGTGTCTTCTTTACTGGCCATTATGTTCATAATTCATGTTGAGATATGGATTAGTATATAATTACTCTCATAATTCAAGTACATGGAAAGTACATAAAGAAAATCTGAGAACGTTTTAGAGACATTAGGACTGGATTAGTCATTAAATTAACCTATTGCCGCCGGGGAAAATGAACAAAAAATGGGGGAAATGCAGTACTCATATTTTATATTTTTGTGAAATATCTCTGGCCATAGATGGCTCTGCTAGTCCTGATTTCACCTTTCCTTGAATTGGCGGGAAAAAAACGTATTTTTACTAGTGCTATAAATATAGATGTTATTTTTAACAGCAAATTAGGATAACGTTAAATATTTTCGTAAATCGATGAAAAGGGTGAACGGGCGAGACAGGCAGTACTGTAATTGGCTCATTGGATACTCAGTACAAGTGTAGCCATCTATGTGTAAATACAATCGAACAAGTCGACTAACAGTGGGCATGGCATGTACGTACATGCCATCTCCGGCGACAATGGGTTAAATAACAATTATACTTTATAGAACAATGACCAATTACAATAGAGTGAAATTAGATATATTACTAATTAAACAGGATATTTAACCTTGTTAACATTGAGTTACATTCAATCACAAAAAAATAGTTAATTTCACTTTCCGTCATATTGACGTTCATCTGTATCCGTTTCCGTTTAGAAATTTATATCAAACGTGATTCCTCTGTCTTAAAACACTAATCATAATAAAAGAACGATATCAAGCGCAAAACAAAAGAAAAAAAGTACAAAACACCAAACTATATAAAAAAGGAAATGAATAAAGAAAGAAAGAAGGTGTTGGTGTGGGGAGATGCCAATACATATTTTTTGCCGTTCTGATTTTATTGCAACACGCCTTCACCTTTGACACACGTAAAAGGTGTTTGTTAAAAGACAGGTTAAGATTCCAGAAGATTAGTCTAATGACCCTGAACTTACTATTGGAAAATGCGTAGTTTTTTTGAAAAAAAAGAAGAGCTGTGTTTATTTCTCTCCGGGATACTTTTGAATTATTTCGTGATATTTCTCTCTAGAACATATTTCTTTACGATATATTTTGATTTATATTCTGCGTTCAGTCGATCGCGGACCTCCCATTTCTCCAATATTTGTAAATCAAAGTGAAAAAAAAAATCATTTATTCCTCTTTTTTATATTCTTCATTTATTCAGACACACACACACACACACACACACACACACACACACACACACACACACACACACACACACACACACACACAGAGAGAGAGAGAGAAAGAAAGAGAGAGAAAGAGCGCGAGAGCGAGAGAGAGCTGTTAATCTTCACTTTGACCGGGCCATCCGTTTCCCAGAGATGCCCTAGAAACACGACGGACCATCAAAGACAGAGTAAAATTGATCCAAGCAATTTTCGGTTCTTTTGCAGGGTTGCACTACCATCGCAGTACGTATGTATGCATATTCATGCCTTGAAGAAAAAATACAGCAAAATGACCTTCGGCATATTCGTGTGTTTTCTTGTGTGAGTATATAAATATTTGTATGTACATATGAATGCATATGTATGTATACAGTATATATTGTGTGTGTGTGCATATACATATATGCACACACACACACACACACACACACACACACACACACACACACACACACACACACACACACACACACACACACACACACACACACACACACACACACACACACACACTCACACACACACACTCCTAGAGCCTTTATATCTAAGATCCCGACTTATATAGCAGCTTCCAGATTAAACAGTATACACACAATGACTGACTTCTCGGCCAGCAAGGTGTCGCAAATACCGCTTCAGAAGCTGTCTTCATCTACACACTGTTTACCATGTTTGTCAAGAAGCACGATGATGAAATATTTTTATGTAACCATGAAGGATTGACAATAAAAAAACTCTTTTTCAGTATCTTATTGTATCTGACGTTTTTGGTGAATAAACTAAGTTATTCTCATTATTATCACAGCATGATTTGAATTTAATCTTATGAATAACAAAAAGCATTTGCATACATAATATACTCCCATTACCCCGACTGTATGCTTTAGAAGATATACTTGTATACAGTTTATTTTGAGTCTTACGTATACACCCATATATACCTATCATTTTGATATACATTTGAGATCTATTTACATATATAACTAAAAAATATATATATTCACAAGTTTGCATATACTAATGAAAGTTCCAGACACGTACTTAAGGTCAGTTCCGGTCATCGTTATTTCGAAAGATCAAAGGATTACTTCATAGTTCAACAGCTCGTTAGCGATGTAAAGTGTGTCACAGGAAACCCTATATAAATGTCATGAACGAGAGACTGCGCTTATCAAAACAGGAATCATAATATCGATGATACTATTTGGTGATATCGAATCTCAAAGGAAGATAAACTGAAATATAGGCAAGGCATTGTAGTTTCAGTTATGGTTTAAATGTCAAAGGATATCATAGAAAATGGTTTGGACTATGCCTGGAAAGCACTAGAGGAAGTCATAACACATGGTTATGACAAACATACCATTTTTTCATTATCGTATCTGCAGACCCGTTTAAGTTCATTTTTTGTAAATGTTATTTAACAGCTGAGTATACGTATGTAGGAATGTTTTATGATAATATTCACTATTCTGTTAGTTATATACACATACGTGTAATGTATGTAATTAAACATCGTTTATATGTATCTGTATATCCTGTGTACGTGTATTTATGCACGTTCACACCGCGCTTGAAGGTCATTATAAGGCAGTTTAAATAAAAGATTATTAATTTGTCTTTTTTATTCATATAAGTTTATTACACAATGTATACACCTAAAAATAGCTAAAAAAGAAGAATGAATGAAAAGGAAAGCCCATACTAAACTGACACTTGATAAAATACATCACAAAAGTCTTTTGGCGGATTCTCGTACACCTTTATTGTCATTGTTATTTTTTTTTTGTCTAAAGTTATGTTTTTCTTTTTCTTTGACACCGAAATCCGCTGACCTCTGCCATCCTGCTTCCAACGCCACGCACAACATCCACACAGATACTACTTATTTCATCTGCTTTTTTGTAATCTACTCACCATTAATCACGGTGTTCCATTCATTTAATTCTCTCTCTCCTCTCTTTCTCTCTTTCTTTCTCTCTCTCTCTCTCTCTTCTTTCTTTCTCTCTCTCTCTCTCTCTCTCTCACACACACACACACACGGATCTCAAAACCACACAGTCACCCTCATCATTCTCATGTTACTATCTTTTTTTAACAATAGCCTTCACATCCTTGCTTTGTACTCTTCCTTCTCTCTATTTTTTCATCTTTCAATCACAATACATGGCTATCTGTCAGGCACACTATCTGTCTATCTATCAAATGCACTATTTCTCTATTAAACATTATCTGCTTGTCTATCAGACGCACCAATGACGACCTATCTTTCATACACTAACTGTCTATCTATCTATCACACACAAACATCTATAAGATATCTACATATCAGACACACTATCAGCACCACGTATCGTAATCACATATACTCATCAATTGTGTTCGTTTTGCATCGTCAGCTACACTTCAGAGGAATCCCAGACATGACTAGACTTTGGTGTGTTACTTTGGCTTAATCACACGAGACACCTGTTATCTTTTTTTTTCTTTTTACATTATTTATTTATTTATTTTTTGTCTTTGTCTCCACGCTGTGTCGAAATGAAAGGCCCAGTCAAGTCCCCTGTTCTGTTCTGTTACTGGTTAATTTCTTTTCCTTAAATTTAGGTCTATCCCTTGAACCGCTGGCTAATAAATAGAGCGTTGTAAATCTAATGTTCTAGCGACTCGGACACTCCTAACCAACTCCTCCACCACAAAGCGTTGATAAACTAGGGTATTCTACTCTATGCCAAGGGATGGGAAACATGTTCAGTAGAGAGGTTATTTGAACGTTCTTGCGTCCACTTCGCAAACGGAGCATCAATTTGGGAGAAAGAAGTAGAACAGAAAGGAGAAATGCAGGAAAAGAGAAGTGATCAGTCATGGAGGTTGAAAAAGAAGGAAAAAGAGGAGAATGGACGGATAGTAAGTTGGGCCAGAGGGGCCACGTGGAACTTGTTCAAAACTTTGAACAAACACTTACTTTTGTTCATTTCGAAGATTCAGATTGATCCAATGCTTCACCCTTGTAACGGTGATTAACTCATAAGTAACAGTTCCATTTTCACTTGCACGGTTATTCAAGATAGTAAAGACGGCTGCGTCATCATCGTAAGTACTTGCGTATAGACAGCGGCACTACAACGTACCACAGGTTAAACTAGTTACTTATCACAGGACGAACCAACTCCTTCAGACTCATGAAGTATATTAAAAGGTAGTAGTCGGTACATAAGTAACCTCCTCACACAACTAGAGCCAGTGAAAGGCCACGGCACTCGCGCTTCACTGGGTCGTCGTCGTGGTCCCCTTTTGACTCGCGGAAGTCGTGGGGTTTTCCGCCCTCGGGGTCACTCGGTCGTCCGCCCTTCGGCTAAGGGCCTCACTCGACTCGGTCTCAATATAAGAAAGGTTGTCGACCCCTTTCAGCGCCCTTCTGGCTGGCTGCGGAGGACTCTGCGTCGACGACCTTCTCTGCGGGAAGGTCAGCTCCTCCTGCACGAGCTTCATGTCGGCGTCCGTGAGCTTCTTTGGCGCGTGGCTCGGGACCACTTCTTTGGGGGCGTCGCGGTGTCTCTGGGTCCGCCCCACCTTCCTCTTCTCCTGTCGGGGCGTCGCGATGTGGAAGTTCACGCCGGAGAGGACCATAGCGGTGCGTTGGGTGCTGGGGTCGCTCACCTCCCGCCCCGGCTGCAGGTGGCGGTTCAGGCGCTCGCTAAAGAACCGCAGGGACGTCGGCTGGACCGTGCCCTTGCTCTCCGTCTCGTGCAGGTCCTTGATGCTGTAGCTCTTGCTCGTCGTGAATATGATGATGAATCTAGGGGCGGAGAGAAGCGCGGTTTAGGTGAGGTTTACCATATACTATTACTATATAGTTGAATGGTGATAGTTTAAATGGAAGAGAGAGGGAGGAGATAGACAGATAGATGTGCAAGGAATAGAAACGAGAGAGCTGGAAGATCAAACGAACAAGGGGCAAAGAGAGACAGGGGAAAAACGCGACAGGGAGCCAATGAACTCGAAACAGAGAGAGATCTCGCAGGACAAAGAGAGAGTGGGTGACCGGTAAATAGGTAAACAGAGGAAGAGAGGAAGCGAAGGGAGGACAGACGGAGAGAAAGAACGAACGCTCGAGAGACAGAG